ACCAGGTACATGAATGAACAAGGTCAATTTTGATTACATGTTGACTTGTTGACATGTTGTTGGTGCCTAAACTGCATGCTTTATTCAATAAAACACACTACCACAGACCTAACAGCAGCATGAGAAGCAGCAGGGCAGTCCAGATCAAACTCAATGTCTAAATATTTTCAGAATTTTATAGTATCAGGTATCAAATTCATTATTAACTTCAGAACTTTGTGTTAAAGTCTGATTTTTTTGTTTTGACTGAATCTCTTTCTTTTCTGAAAGGGGTCAATATTATGTAAAATTGAATTTCTCCCTCTTTTAGCAAAACAGTTCGATGTAGTATTTTAACACTGTTATTAAAACAAACCATTGAAAAAACACCATTCACTCGCCAGTACTTACAGTCCATATATGGAAGCTAAGCGACAAAAACTGCCTGTTTTAAAGCCTGTCACACAAACCATCACATTTACATACATCTGTCTAATCAGACTGCAGCAGTTTAGCTTAAGATGCTTTACAGACTGGCTGGAACAAAACAACATTAATATTGATCTGGCAAAAATTGCTAGATCAATATTAATGTTATCTGTTTATCCAGTTTTCTGAACGATGCCTAGTTGATTTTGATACACGGTGTTAAATGTTGATTTTTATCCAATACCTTTGAAGCTGTTTTGACCAAATCTGCAGCTCACTGAGTTCTTGTTATCATTCAATACTGCTAAAACAACACCGACGCACTGGTATCTTGTGGTCATACTGCCCAGCATCATCAGGTACATAAATTCACGTTCTATTTTCAGGGTTTAAGTAAAGACCTGATCCCAGAGTAAGCAGTTCTTGGCAGAAATCCCACTCCTTCAAACAATGAAGTCAGCTGAGTTTCCCATTGCGACAGAAGAAACGGGAATGTAGTAAAATCCGCCAAATCTTCCCTGGAACTTGGAAAGCATCCAAATTCAGATCACGCTGCCTAAAATACACCATCTGACGTGTTATTGTTTATCCTTATAATCATCATTAACAACATGCATTCCTCTTAGCAGGCCGTGCTAAGCATCTGAGCTATTACAAACTCTCAACTTAGCTTGTGTACTTCATTCTCCAATGGGAGGAGCCCTTCAGCTATTTTTGATATCCAAATATCTATGTTTTCAATGAACCCAAATGGCCCAATAGGAGAATATTTTATGCTGCTAATAATAAAAAAAACAAACACTGAAGGTTTAACATTTATATACTGCCCACAGTTGGTGTAAGAGCTGACCTGTTACTAATGGTTTGGTTGATTTTAGTCGGCCATTGCAGGCAGAAATCATGGATTTTGGACCCGTCAATCATTTTTTAGATTTCTGGATAAACTGTATCTGTAACATGTCTGTAAAGATACTGTACAAAAGTCAAAACTCCAAAGGAAAGTGTTTATTTCAGCGCGTTCTGTAAGTTTGCATCTACTCACATCTAACTGTTCTTTCCAAAAATAAGCAACTTTAACGAAGGCTTAGCTCCACCCACACTTGGCAGTTACATCACGTGTATTTATATCACTGAAAATCTCGCTTCCTGTAGATTCTAATAAGAATATCAAGAGAAGTCCAGGTAGTCTGTAACAGCTACAGCATTCCGACAAATACCGCATGTTATCTGAGATCTGACAGGGTAAGAGATCTGAGGTTGATTCGCTACATTCACAACCAAAATCTTTGTTTCTAGAACAGCTTAATTCATGAAACTTTACATGTTCGTTCTCAAAGATATTAGCCAGATAAACAAACTGGAGTTCTATTATTTTTGGATGTGTTCTGAGAGGAAACAGTTCTGTGCTCGGAAGAGTTGAAGATAGAAGAAGAGAACAACCAGCAACAAGGTGGACGGACACAATCAGAGGAATCATGAACCAGCCAATCAGAAGCCTGAAGACACAAAGTGAAGAAACACTGGAGAAACATGATTCATATGGTTACCAAGGAGGAGGAGGAGGAGGAGGAGGAGGAGGAGGAGGAGGAGAAGAAGAAGAAGAAGAAGAAGAAGAAGATGGAAAAAGAGAAGGAAAAGAAAGAGAAGGAAAAGAAGAAAAGGAGGAAGAAGAAGAAGGAAAAGAAGAAAAGGAGGAAGAAAGAGAAGGAAAAGAAGAAAAGGAGGAAGAAAGAGAAGGAAAAGAAGAAAAGGAGGAAGAAGAAGAAGGAAAAGAAGAAAAGGAGGAGGAAGAAGAAGAAAAAGGAAAAGAAGTAGGAAAAGAAGAAGAAGAAGGAAAAGAAGAAAAGGAGGAGGAAGAAGAAGAAAAAGGAAAAGAAGAAGAATAAGGAAAAAGAAGAAGAAGAAGAAGAAGAAGAAGAAGAATTGTGCATTTTTGCCTATTTTGCATATATAAATTTATTTTTTTGAAAAACTTCTAAAACGAAAAACTATTCTGGGAATGTCAGAAATCAACTGGCGAAGATTCAGTGATAACTACTGTCCTAATAACTGACCTCATTCACCTGAACGTCTCACTGTTTGCTGTATGTGATTCAACACACTAACAGCCGACCTACAGAACAATAACCCAACAGCTACACAGTGAACGTCATCTTTTTAATACCATCATACTCAGATGTCACGACTTCGAGATGCAGCATCAGCTGCTTCTCTGCAGATCTACATCACACAACTACGCATGCTTTATTTCATTAACTCATATTAAGATGAGTTTAGACAACCTTATATTCAAACACCTACACACACCCCTCATTCTCCATCACTGTCCAATACACAGACTTCACAGTTTGTGTGAAACTACAGAGGCTATTCCAGCTCCTGCCCTGAAAGCCAACAGCACTTCTGTTCAGTTTGTTGTTTCTTACTGTGACCCATACTTGAGTGCTCAACAGCTAAGCAGCTGTCAGGCCTGCTAAACTGGAGACAGTGCTGTGATGTACTGAGGCCTTCCAGGACTGCAGCTGCAGCTGGAGATCCCAGCTCTACTCCTGCACAGGCACAGTTATGTAATCGTACAGATCCGTCATCGTGACAATGAAGTGACGGGTGAGTAAATCCACCCGCATGGAAGCCTAAAACGCAACTGTACACCAAGAAAACATCATAAATCTAAGGAAAAACACATTTTTTCCATAAGAACCATTCAATTACGCTGAAAACTAAAGAACTCTTCTTTTCAAAAATATGAAATAGTCAAAGGAAAAACACTAAAGATTAAGACTTTTCTTTAAAAAAACAAGACTTTCAACTTTTATATGAAATAATGAAGACTCTGCTGATGTTGTTGGTGCAATATACACAGAATCATGAGTACAATCAAATATTCTACATGAAACCCTACACTATCAGCATGGCCTGCTGTGGTTGTGAAAGGTTATCCCCTATAATACTGTTACAGACATAACAAAACGCCTTTTTACAAGTTTCACATCATGTGCTAAAAGCAGTGCTGTACAAAACAGTTCGGTTGTATGAGCTCCTCCACCAGTGGAGAGGAATTCATTCCATCCCACACTTACGGCATATGTCTCTAATTAGTGGGAGGATGTGACAGGCGAATTCCTGGATCCATGTGTTTACATTCTCTGAACAAAACTGTTGCTCTAGAATCTGTTGCCTGTATCAGTGTTGCAAAAACTGATTCTAGATCAGCACTGCATTAGGAAGTCTTAACAGTATGATCCACAGCTTTGGTCTTTGGTCTGGGTACTGGAGAGGAAAGAAAGTACAAAAATATACATAAAATAAAGAGAGAAAGGCAGTAAGACTGAAAGCCAGGTAATTCAGAGAGCTCTGAGTGGACACCATCAGTCCAGACCAAAAAGTGCTTTCCATTCAACATTTCTTCATATTCAGTACATCAAACTCTTAATGCTCCTATCATATGCAGATAAAAAGGGGAGTCTAAAACCATCTTCCGGTGTATTTTTACTGCTGTAATGAAACTCAAAACCAAAAACAACAAGTCCAAGAACTTCTTAGAAAACTGTAGTAGAACTTCTTTGCTCAACCAGCATGTGAGCATAGGAACTGAAGTTTGTTTGATTCAGTTCTTCTCATTTTGGATGCTTTTGGTCTAAAATAAAATGCTAAAGCATAAAAAACAAAACAAAACAAAGAAACAAACAAACAAAAAAAACAAAACAAAAGGAACTAGATTTGGAAAAACCGAAACAGAACTGAGGGAACTGAGGGAAACATAGGCGCCTCTCTTTACAACTACACTTGAGAAGCATTAGAAAACACACCTAAAGAAAGCCCATCAAATATGCCCTTAAATACACTATGTGGCCAAAACTTTGTGGACGCCTGCTTTTCCAATGTTGCTTCCAAAACCAACAATATTAAAAAAGGACTTTGTCCCTCTTTGCTGCAGTAACAGCCTCTACTATTCTGGAAAGGCTTTAGACTAGATGTTGGGACATTGCTGTGAGGATTTGATTGCGTTTGGTCAAAGTCAAAAGAGCATTAGCGAGGTCAGGCACTGATGTTGGATGATCAGTTCTGGATCACTCCAACTCATCAACTCATCCCAAAGGAACTGGATGGAGCTCCATCACTCCAGAGAAGTTCCTCTCGCACTTCCACTGCTCCACAGCCCAGTGCTGGGGGGGATTGTACCACGCTTAGCATTGGGCATGTTGACCTTAGGCTCATGTGCAGCTGCTACAGAGGGACCTGTTCTTTCCTAACTGCTTTTCTATGGAGATTATAAAAGTGTGTTGAGGTCTGTGCGCATGTGAACTCCTGGGTCCATCTGAACCAACAACTAAACAAGAAGGGATGTCCACAAACTTTTGGTGTACACTGAAGTGAGGGGATGGAGCTCGTTAAATGAGATGTTAAATATAAGAAAACTGGATTTTTTTGCAGGGATATTCAAACTCACAGTAATGACACCCACAGTGGGAGTCCATCACTGGCCGTTAGACTATTTAAACAGCTGTTCACTGATCCTGACCGCAGCTACCACAGGTAACAAATGGAGGGCTTTCAGCTCCACAAAGACTCGGGAAGGAGGTGAAACTCACCGAGGAAGAGGCAGAAGAGGTCCAGGAAGATGAGCACTTTCCTCTGGCTGTTGTCTTTGCCCTCGGTGGGGGTTAAAGCTGAGCTGCCGTTTCTGCTCTCCGCCGCCATCACCTTCTCTCCCAGCAGACGCTGCATTCCGGCTGTCTGGATCTCCGCTTTCCCTCTTTCCCTGCCGCTAAGAGAAGCAGATGGACGGGGGAACCAAACCAGGCTCGACTCGATGAGAAAGAAGAGTTTGCAAAAAGTCAGCAGCAGGAAAAAGTTAAGGTTTGCAGTCAGGTCTCCGGATGGAGAGAAAGAGGATCTACAACAAAGTCTGCAGAGCTTCTCTGAACTTCTGAGTGATTCTGGTGGACCCCTTCACTTTACTTTCCCCCCAACAGAACCGTCTCTCCCTCACCTTAAACCCCTCCTTCCCTTCTCCTCCAACCCCTCCTCCTCATCCCTCCAACCCCTCCTTCCCTTCTCACTTTCCCTCCCTCTCCAAGTGGAGTCTGGCAGTCCAGCCTTATCAAGTCAGCAGACCTACAGAGCACCATTGATCTCAGAATGGATCCCAATCCTGAGACATTTGAATGTAAAAGGCTTCACTGCTCTCTCTGTATGTGTTTTAATGCTAAGTGCCCCCTACTGCTCCTTTTTCTCCTTCCCCTTCTTTCTGAATGTAGACCATAGTAGGCCTCAGTAGGTAGTCCCTGTTTTCCTGTGTCTTCCAGACTTATATTGGAAATAATTTTATTATTTAAATATCATAATTTAAAAATGTCTGCACGGGTAAATTAAACCGATAAAATAAAATTTAAAAAGAGAAAAAACTTCGAATTAACTTGCGTATTTTGCCCAAAATTTATCATGAAATCTGGAATTTATGATGCACAGTATTGCAATATTTCTCTTTCCTAAACTAGAACAGACTCCACCATAAATAAATACATAAATACAATTCATCCATCATCAGGATCCAAAATATAGCACCTTTTTGAAAATGGTTCTATAGAGCACCAAAAAGTGCTGCTCTATTGTTTCGATGTCAGCCTTGTTACAATAGAAGAACCCTTTACGGTGCTGTATAGAATCATTTTCAAAAAGGTTCTATATAGAACCACCTACAGCACGTTCTCCATCAATCTGAAGAACCTTTTCTTTAAGTAAAGAAAATGGTTCTATATAGAGCCAAGAACACTCAAAGAACCCTTTGCATATTAACTAGTTCTTTGCATGGTGAAACAGTTCTTCAGATTGATGGAGAATGTGCTGTAGATGGTTCTATAAAGAACCTTTTTGAAAAGGGTTCTTATACTGTTACAATGCCAAGCTTGTTACAATAGAAGAACCCTTTTTGGTGTCATATAGAACCATATACGGCACATTCATGCATATTTTCCATCAGTCTGAAGTACCATTTAATGACGCAAAGAACCATTTCATGATGCAAAGAACCCTTTCATCATGAAAATTCTAGATAGAAGCATTTTCCTTACTAAAGAACCCTCGATGAACCATCATTTTAACTGTGTAACCTTTTATCATGGTTTGTAATATACTGTATTAAGGAAATACACTACATGTATACAGAAATTCATGCACATCAGCAGAATGTCATTTTTATAGCAATATTGGTTGGTGGTTATACATTTTAGGGATTTTGATGTCATTTCTTTGGACCAGGCCGTAGACCCTTAGCCCTTCAGCTGGCATACTGAGTATGAAAGGACAGCAGAGAGACCCCTACTGTGAGGTGTGAAGGTGAACAGAACAAAAACACAGTAAAACAGCTGTACATTCGTCAAACAAAGCCCCAGATAAGAGTCGCAGCATGAATAAAAATCAGAGATGGTACTTCAAAAAGTGTCCCTGTTTACAGTGTCGTCTGTGCTAAATATCACAGTCTGTAATTGAAGTTTGGCACATCTTCACTACATTCATACATGCTTGACAAAGCCTTTACAGACACAACTGACTGACTCCAGCTCTGGGACAGAAAAAGACATCCTGCACGTCCATTCATGCTCTATGATGTGCTTTGCAAGTAACAAACACGCTTAAAAAAGATGGTTCTTCTAGAGTTCTTCAGTAAAGAAAATGGATCTATATAGAGCCAAGAACACTCAAATAACCCTTTGCATGATTAAAGGGTTCTGTGCATGGTGAAATTGTTCTTCAGATTGATGGAGAATGTGCTGTAGACGGTTCTATATAGAACCTTTTTGAAAAGGGTTCTTATATTGTTTCAATGCCAAGCTTGTTACAATAGAAGAACTCTTTATGGCGTCATACAGAACCATATATAGCACATTCATGCGCATGTTTCATCAGTCTGAAGAACCATTTAATGACGCAAAGAACCACATCAAAGAACCGTTTAATCATGCAAAGGGGTTACTTGAGTGTTCGTGGTTCTATATAGAACCATTTTCTTTACTAAAGAACACTTTAACCTTCTTTTTAAGAGCGAACATCTTCAACATCTACTTGAACTTAAGTCATGTTCACCTGCTCTTTATTTCAAAGTACATATCAAGAAATCTAAGGTTTTGCCCTGCTGGATTTCTTGCACCCTCTAGTGGTGACTTCTGTAATGTGTTAAGGATCAGTATCAATTATAACACCACAGCATGAAGGCACTGAGCATGCAGATGCATCCAAAGAGCACTGGGCACAGCTTAGACGTGTTTCAGGGTACTGTATGTTGGCATGAAAGAAATCAGTGACTAAACTGGCTGATTAAATGGATGAGGAAAAGGATTAGTCTTAAAACAAAAAGCATCATTAAACACAAATCAGAATACAACTATTTATATTTATTGTATGCATCCATTTACATAAATGAGTGGTTTAATATAAACATAAAACAAAACAAAAGGCCAGAACAAAGCAGAAACACTGCATAAGGAACAAAGAAAAACAAGAGAATGCAAGACAGTGCAAAGCCATAATCTCAACTGACACAATACACCATAACATTTAGACAAGTATCATTACACTCGCACCCAAAAGTGACAGGCCTTTTAATTATCATCATCATTTTCTTTTTTAAACTTTTCCTGCAGACTGAATGGGCACCATATGGGCCTCAGTTTGGCTTTTAAACCTGGTAAAGGAGCCCGTCTTCCATAACGAGTGAAGTGGTGTAGTTTACCTGTTAGGAAGACAAAGTCAGCAGTGAGGTTTAATTCTACAGGTGAGGCCTGTAAGAAAGCCTCAAGAGTAAGTCCCAAAAACACCACCCGTTCTGAAATAAACCCTTTTTCCCAAATATTTAGAATACATTGTGTTTAGTTATCTGTGCATAAACATTTTGAATGGTCACAATTACAACTGACTGGAGTCTACAGTAGAAGTCAACAGTTTTTTTCAGTCCCGCTCCTGCAAGATTTCATCCGTCCTGCAGAAAATTAAAATCATTTGGCCCAGTCCTGCCCATACAGTCCCGATGACATCCAATATCTGACACATCGGTTCACAAATACATTATGCTCTGCTGAAATAACACGGCAGTCATGGCCATCAGGCTCAGAGTTAAGTAACTTCACCAAATGCCATTTATTCCCAGTAAACACAACTCAAGAAGTAAACCACAGAGCGGTTATTTTTGGTGTTTTGATGGGCAGCTGTGGGTAACTTTCCATTCTCTCCCCATTCCTTTAAACAGGCTGCTTTTGTTACTGTGCCTTTAAGACTCATATGTAAATGAACTCCGTTCTGATTGCAAACGCATCAGTTTTTGTGACACCACAAAAACAGTAACTTCAAACTAGGATAAACTGCAGTTTTTGCGTATGGACCGAACAGTGAACGACACAATTTAAAACTTTAACTATGTTTACACACTACATCGAACCCATTCATTGTCAAAGTGAGGAAAATTTTACTTTTCATTACATGGCTATTTGCTAGCTAGCCAAGTCAAAGCCTTAGCCTACATTGCATGATTGAAGATATTCAGAGATTTGCAAACATTTTTTTCTGTTGTATTACGCTGACATTACACCAAAATCTAATTGGAGTGTTTTACAGGTTTTAGATGCCCTTTTAGTGAAGTTATATCCACTATAGTAAATCTGTGGTACAAACACTGAAGGAATGACCCTAAATCAGAATAAGATCAAAACTTTTTCCTTAAAGCAAAAGCTTAGACAAAAATAGTTTCTTCCTTACTTTAAAGCTGAAATTGAAGATTGAGACCTCTCTGGTGGAAAGTGCAACGGCACACATGTGAAGGAATATTTCATAAATGTAGGTTGTACTTCGGACCCCTTCCCTGAGCAGGTGAATCTGATGATTGTGAGTGTTTTGAAAGAATTCAAAAGAGGACTCAGTCAAAACTTCATGAAAGATGTGTCTTCTGAGGATGTGAGTAAATGATCTATTGTCATCGTATCTTCATTAGTATAGCGCTGATTTTGCATTTGAAACCTGAACATCGGACCTTCTTTTCAAGTCTGAAAAACTACCGAATCAACACCTCCGACGTTTAAAAGTCACAATTTCATATTTAAATGGCAACTCTCAACAGCGCACGCTCACATATTTTAGCCTGTTTTAATTCCCCTCATTTAGTAATGATACTTCTTTCATTTTCAACATAAAATCTTATGTAGTGCAGCTTTAATCTAGCCGACTGAAGACATTACTGGTGTCCGTGTGCCTTGCCTTGACTGATCGGGGAAAGTGCCAAATCTTACTGGCCAGAACGCTGCTTTAAGAGCTAATGAGCGATAAAATAAAATTAAATAAATAAATGAATAAATAAATAAAAATATACCACTTGGAAACATCTTTTTAGTTCTGATTAGGAGAAAAACAGACCTCAATGTTCAGACAAAGTCAGCGTAGAGTTCAGGAGGAGGCAGCAGCTCAACGTCTGCATAACTGAACTGGTCTTCCTCACTGGGGGCGAAGAACAAACTCAGAACACAGAACACAGAACGAAATGCATAAGTTACCAATCTTATTTACTGGGTCTTCCACATTACAGGATCCATACTCACAACCCCAAACTGCATCAAAAGAGTTAAACATGAAAACAGTAAACATTATGCAATATGTAACTTTAGTTTCAGACCAAGCTAAACCTCTCAAGACTCCAGACTGAGAATTTTACGTGGTCTTTCTCTGGTCATACTCACACATAAGGAGGTTCCTCCACAACACTCAGAAGACCTAAAGACACAAAAACATCAACAGTGGCATGGACCATGTAGTATGGCTTAGTAAAGATCTCACATGCACATGTTCATCAATCAACGAACCATTAACTGACAAATACATAATTGCTTGTCCCAAGCTTTCAGTAATGAAGTTCATTTAATGTCTGATACAGACATTTGAACAGGTCAGTTTTTATTTCAACTTGAGGAGCACTTTTTAGGTTTCCTGGAGTTAAAGCCAACTTTCAGCGTTTGCTACTGGTGTCTAATTTTAATGGGTAAAGTCAGAGCTGCTGAGGGACAAAGATCATAATCAGTAATCGCTCACATCCTCTCTGTGATGAACTTCAGCTGCTCAAATCAGGTAGAAGGTACAGACTCCCTGGGGCCAGGTGCAGCAGACTGGTTGGCTTGTAGTTTATAGTATTGGACTGTTTATTGTTCTTAACTTTTGCCATACTGCAAGACAAATTCCACACCCTCACATGCCTCTTACAACACACACAAACAGCCCAATTCAAGGCATTCACCATCAGTGCTACAGGGTGGAAAAAGTGCTCCTAAATTTTGTCAGAAGTGCTTCTAAATTTTAAATCTCCCCACTTTACAAACACCAAAAGCACATGCATTAATATATAAACAGGTGAACATTAGTATGGATGCACAATAAGAATTAGCCGAGATCAGAATTGACAGATACTTCAAACACACAATCTGCCAATTTATTATTTCTGTCTATTCTGTGAGTTAAGTGCACTCACACTGTATTTAAATGCTGCTGCTGCATTTGTACTAAAATGTTGTGGCACATGGCACTGCAGTTGCACTGAAGTTTGGGCGCCTGGTCATTTTTTTTTTTAAATGAAAATAAGTGAACACATCCTCTACAGAGAACATGTGTGCACAGTTTAATGCACAATTACTGTTTTCTTGCTGAACTGAACATATTGGGGGGAAAAAAGTTATGGCACATTTAATATTTTATCTTTTTCAAGTATGTTTGACTCAGCTAAACAAACAGACATGATGCACTAAAAATCAGCAAAATAAATGCGATATTTAAGTTTGTTCACTTACAAAATGAACAAAACATGTAATTATACTCTTACATAGGACTGTAAATGACAAATCGTGCAAAATAGCCAGTTGCCTCTCACTTACTTGATTTGTGTTTAAATACAGAACTGATTTTGGTTTAAGAATTTACAGTGCCACTACTGATACTGTGACGTTGACTAACAAAGTGCTCATTCAAAGTTTTATAACTAAGGCTAATAAATATCAAAGGAAAAAACATCCATTGAAATCAGAATTGGCCATAAAAAATAGTTTGGTGCACCCCTGAAAGCTCAGAATACATAGAAGATACAGAGCTGTCTTACCTGGACCACTGAAGCTGCAGAAACACATGAGATATTAAAGAAAGTAAAAGGGTTTATGTGCATTTTGAAGCATCATCACAGGTAGTGAACTGTCGTTAGTATACTGTACTTGGCTGGAATGGAGTTAGTGTGATCCGTTACAGTGTTGAGCTCCTCTCTGGAGTTCTGGAAGAAGACCGCGAGCTTCTGAAGAGCCTCGTGCCTCAAAAAGGAAGATGCAAAAAATGAACTGTTCTGTACCACTTGCTCTTAATAAAGCCTATAATCCTAAGCAGTGTGATGGTGTTCGTAGCTTACTGAGAGGGGATGTCCTCCATACTGCCAGCACTCAGTGCATGGTGAGCACTGACATTACCACCAACTAGAACAAGAAGTGAGAAGTTATTACTCAGGAGAAAGAACTCGATGGATATGAAAACGCTGTGGCTGAGACAAATACAGATGTTAGAGGGCAAAAAGTTACGATAAGTGATAGTTTTTAACCTCAATTATCAGACTTCGTAAACGCAAATAAACACCAGAAACTCAGTCTTAAATAATATATGTGCTTTTGGTTTCTGTTTTTCAAAATTTTCATTATTTGCTCTCAATATAAATATCCTAAATAGGACTCAACTGACATCAGCTGGCTGATATTTTGTGTTACATGTTTTTCTAATGTTAAAGGTGAGGTTTGGATGTATTTTTACAAACTCTTTTTTGTTTTTTAAAAACAACTATGCTTTTGCCCTGTCATCAGGGGATCAAGTTTGAATCTTGGCAGTGCAGCAAGCAAAGAGAGAGGGGGGAAAAAAAAATTATTGGCTTATACCAACAATACAGTGAGTCACTCATTAGTCAGGCTGTATTTAGGACATTTATATTTAAGACAAACAATGGCACGACAGTTATGATTTAATTATGAGATTTAATTATAATTTTGATGAAAAATAAAAGCAATAAAAAGCTATGCTGTGTCCTTGAGAGCATTTGGCGTGGTGTTTTTCAAGGCCATGTCATTAGAAAATGACAACTAATTTTACTTAATTTTCAGTTTACTTTCAGTTTTCTTTTTCATTTTTGTATTTTCATCTCCAATTATGCGTTTCATAACCGGGGATTCCAGTTGTTCCTTTTAAATTTGATTAAATATTTGTTTTGTTTTTTTTTCCTTGCCAGAGAATTCAAATGAGATGGCTGAATACTAAAAATAAAACCATTAGCAAGTTACAATGATGTGACTTACTGAAATAAAATTAAAAGGTTTTAATACTCATTAATATATTAATATTACTAATCCAAGTCAACGAAGTCTCAATTTCTATATTTCATAAATGTTTATGTATCGGTAGATATGTAAATGGAAAATCTAATATCTGCATCAGCGCACAATACCATATAGGTGCATCCCTAAAAGAAATCCTCCACAGATTTAGTGTCTACAGAGAAAAAGCACTTCTAACAGACTTAATTAAGGCTACACTTACACATGTCCGGCATTGAGACAGCTCTGTTCGGACCCCTGAGGAAAGAGCAGGTTAAAAATAAATAACAGGTAAACAGCAGGTAAAATACGGTCTTGCCTATTTTAGAAAGGCCATTTTTCATTTAAAACTTCATTTGGACCTTTAGATGTTTTCATCATAGCCCTTTGTCTCCAACAACAACCGCATAATTTACAGTTTAAGTCGGAAATGATCCAACCCAAAACCGAAACATAACCAATGCAACTCACAAGCTTTCTGGTAAAGTGGACGAGGTCTCATCTCCAGTCCACTCTTCACTATCATCAGTAACTGAAACAGAACACATTACAACACAAAGATCAAAAGATCAGACTGACAGTAACAGATACAGTACGATTCAACATGTCTCCATTATAATTCTCAATAACAGGCACTTACAACTGCTCGTGAGGACTGGGTTATAATGTGAAGACCTGCAAACATGTATAAACACAGTCAGCAACGTGATATTTCTGTTCCAAGCAGCAGAAAAATACCTTTCACAAAGGATCAGGTTGCATATAACTCAAATACAGAAACTGATTTGTTTGTACACGACCCCTCAAAAGTTTGGGATCCCCATTTTCAATAAACAGTGCAGACGCTGCATGCCTAAAATGAGTGTAATTGACTGTAGCCAGTCCTGGCTAACTTCTTCAGAGAGGCAGAGCTGTGTATTTGTGAGTCACAGTGCTTGTGGTATGTTTGGACAGTCATCATAAAGTTGTAAACTTGTAAAGTTCCCAGTTTACCACAAGGACATTACACCTGAATGGCTGCCAAAGTCGCAAATACAAGTGATAAGCTCAAAGTTTGAGCTGACATACTATCAGCCAGTATGCTGTCTGGTAACGTCAACAAGTGTGCATGTATTAAGAACAGTAAATATGACAGTGTCATAATGTGAACTAAAGTCTGTAACATTAAGCCATCAAATAAATGACACCTAAACATAAAACTCTGCAGTTTACAAATATTTAACAATATAACATTCATCCTGGCACATAAACAGTGGGGTCTAGAGACCACTAATGAAAATGCTTTTGAAAAAGGCTGTTCATTTACATTCTTTAATGTAATTTTGTACATTATGAGCGTAAAAAAAATTCAGCGTAAAGCCGAATCTTTCAAAAATTTACATGGATTTTAAAGTATGTCTCTCTTTTGCTTTAATGACAGCGAGCACTGAACTCCACAAAGTTAGTGCAAAAACCTCTCATTAACAGATAAAATCTACTTGAGAGTCATCTGAACTCAAGCATCAATAGAGAGAAAACAAAATAAATAAAAAAATAAATAAATCTGAATTTACTTAACATACCACTGTCACATATTCCCTTAAATTGCAGCTTAATATTATTGCGAAATCTAACAACTGTGGAGAAGAACTGCAGGTAGCTCAAATAACTGCAATCTTCTCAAATAATGTGATCACATAATTGTGCCAGGCCCTTCATACTGATTCAGATTTTATTTAGGTTTGCTTTCTTTAACACCATCAACCAAATATGATTGATTGATTACTGATAAGCTCTTCCTGAGACAAAGTGTACTAGAGCAGGAAAATGCAAAATATGACAGCAGAACCTTCAGCACCAGAGCTGACAAGCCCACTTTCAGAGACCGGTAACAGAAAGAGGGGTGGTGTTTGGACCTGCTGCTTAGGCTAAGGGTGTCCGCCTCGCCTGCTGCTCGCCCGGCGGCCTGCGCCCGCTTCCCCAGCTCCAGCATCTCCTTCATATTCAGCTCCACATTCATGACTGAAATGTAGCCATCTGCACACAAGAGCGTCAACACTGCTTTACAGTAAATACGCTGCAGAAATTAATGTGATAGTTTGGCAATAAATAAATAAATAAATAAATAAATAAAGTAATTTATATTACATTACCTCACCCCAAATGTATGCTTAATGCTGAGCAAGATACATGAGTTTAGATTTGCTCCTGTTATGAGCTGAGTAACCTGTAGTGTCTGATTTTTTTCTCTTTTCTGAGGTCGATGCTTAGCAAACACCCCATAGGTATGGTTGCTGCAGTGTTTACTGTAGCAAATCAATCCATCCGTGTTCTGCTGAATTAAATTGACAAGATGTAAACAAAGTCATTCGGAGAGGCTTGATGGGAAAATCTCCATTCTACACTCTCAGAAATAAAGGTAGTAAACTGTCACTAGGGCAGTACCCCTCTCGTCACTGGGGCGGGACCCTCAAGGGTACATCTCAGTACCTTTAGTCAGGGAAGATAACTGTACCACAAACCACTGAAATGATATTTTCTAAGTTGTACTGACTCCACACAGCCCGTCTCGTCTCCAGGCTTTTTATTTTATTGTTCTGTTTTAAAACATTCGGTTATGAAAAGGTACAAATACAAACTTTTCACCTGGAAAAACTTATTTAAGGTTCAAAACTGAACCTTAAAACCTCTGTTGTACCTTTGAGGGAACATTTACACTGTTTGTACCTTAATGAATGAAAATGTACCTGCACAGAACCTTTATTTCTAAAGTGCAGAGAAAATTACTAGACAGAAGATCTGACCTACATATTTTTTCATTTTTCTTTTCCTAATTTGTTTTTTTTGCTCATGGTGGGAAGATACATGCAGGGTCTTGTACACCAGCAGAAACTTCTCATTTGCAGAGCCTTCTGCATCAACAATACTGCAAAGACAGCACCCACAGAAAACTTTAGATTTTACCATTATCAACATTACATATAAAAACTCTTTCGGTGGTTTTGGATATAATGACTATATGTGTGTTGTAGTCATGGTGACCCCTGGTTTCTATCACCACCACTGTAAACAAATCTGAGTCTGTAAAATTATCTCCATGTAACCATTTCATGATGACTGTTTTCATCTTAGCCTCTGCATTGTGCAGAAAATTGAAAAAAATTTGTTGATTTTTTGTGAAACTACCGATACCAAAGTTCTTCCAAAAAAGCCTGTGCTGTATGTAGAACGTGGTATCCTTGGTTTACTATCCTACAGTATAACGGCTGGATTTGTATTGGCACTGATGCCGATGCCCCCCCGCCAACGTTTGGGACAGTCCAAGTGACCTGACTTGCCCATATTAGTGTACTGCAGTTCCGGCATGTGTTCTTACACTTGTGCTGTGCATCCCTGGCCAGCCACTTGCCCTTGGGGCAGTTGGTGGTGCGTATGATGCTGACCGTGTCTCCGCTCTTCACCTGCAGGTCGTGCTTGCGCAGCTTGCTGGCCACTAGCACTCGGGCGTGGTACATAGGCTCCTCCTGTCCAGTGATCTACTGGGACAGAGGAGAAAATCAACTTCATTAGAAAAACCAATAAAATATAATTTGACCAGGAGTGTTTGAAACTTTGCAGACTAACGTATGAAGCTTTGGTACCTTCTAGTAATAAATTTACCAGCTTAATCTAGAAGGAATAAGAACAGAACAAGTTTGGACTTTCTAAACCAATTCATTTCATTTGTGGTACCTATACAGATTTTATTTTTACTATATTAATGCAAATGAATTCAACTGTTCTTAAGACATTAACACAGTTTTCACAGCACCACCCTACTAACCTCACAAAGCTGCAATAATAATTTATAATAAGTGACTCACTTTAAATTTCTTTTTCATCTCGTTTTCTTTTTTCTCTCTCTCCTTCTGCTCCTTTTTCTCCCGTTCCAGACGCTGTTTTTCTCTCTTTCGCAGTTCTCTCTCATCAGGGTGGTCAGGACTCGAGCGTTCCTTCCTGAAAGGCATTACAGACAGCCGCACCGAAGACATCTACCAATGTGCCACTCAAAATCACAGTACAGCAGGGCAGAGTTGCTCATGAACATCAGAAAGTAGGGCTGCATATGTTCAAAATATTGTGATTATATTGTGATTTCAATACAGTCTTTTATTACAAACACAATAACGAATCAATGTGAGATGGCTGGGCCTGCATTATAAAGGCTGACCTGTATTATTTTAACCAAAAATCAGTTTAGTTGGATTGCAAGAATACCCTGATTTATACAAAAATCAGCAGAAATATCATATTTGCAGCATATCAACAATGCTGCAAAGACCAATATCTCAACATTACAAATGGTATATCTGAAGTTCTACAAGGAAACACCTTGAAACATTTTGGGTAATTTTTTTTTAACATAGTATTTTCTAGGACTGAATAATTAAAATACTCTAATATTTCTTGATTACAGTGATATTTTTAAATATTTTATATAAAGCCCTAAAAAAACTATATTGTAACCTAAACAACAATAAATTCTGAGCAAAAGCCTTTAGACTGACCAACGTTAATATTGTTAATATACAGAGAAAACGTTAAGTGGTTTAGCTGAACACATCAAATTCATAAACTCATTAAATTCACATCAAATTCATAAATGTCAACATCCATGTCAGCCTCAGACTGCAACAAACCCCCATTTCTCTGTGAACACTGAAGCTATAAAGTAAAGACGTAGGAGAAAAAACATTTTCAAAATATTCTGGTATATTCGCTGGTGAAACTACTAGGGGACTTTATATATCGCTGTTGTCGGAACGTTTTTCAGTAATTTATATAATTTGAAAATGCCTGTTTTTTACATTGTGTGTAAATTTCATGTTGAATGGACCAAAAGAAGTGACCCAAAATGATTTGGAAAAACAGTCTGGTTCCACTGACTTGCATGAAAAGTAAAGTAGGTTTTTTCCCCTCATTTTGGAGATACGAGGTTTTGTTCCGACAACAGTGATCAACCCAAATGATAAGAAAAGCCATTCTGTCCTTTTAACAAAAATCGAACCACCTTGGGAGCCACAAGATTTAATGTCCCGTATGTATCAGTATGTGATAATGTCCTAGTATAAGCTAAAATAATATAAACGAAAAAGCAGACTTACTCTACTCTGCTTTAAGCTTTAGCTGTAGCCGCTTTCCTCCCCTTTCCCTCAGGAAAATTCTTCTCAAACGTTGAGTAGTTTCTTGTAAAATGTCTCTCAATGTTTGACTGTTTTATGAGGCTAAAGTCGCTTCTTATTTGCCAGCTTCTTGTTCGAATTGTCCCGTTCGATCTTAAATTCTGACTGAGGCGCCAGAATGTAAACGCAGCACAATTTAAGGTGGAATTGGAAAATTCGAAAGACAAGCTGACATTTTCACAACTTTAGTTAGTGAAAATGTGACAGTTTCTCACTGTAGATTTAACGTATCAGGAAACCAACTGTGCTGCATATAAATGCGAATACGTCCATTCGTCTCCAAAAGTTCACTGAGATTATACTACACTGACACAGCTATCTAGCCTCTAGTTATGTTTACATTTTAGTACATTTCAACACTGTTTCTCTTTTTGATTGTTTGGAATTCATCCATGGATAAATGTTAAATACAAGTAATATTGTAGGATTTTGTTGCTGTTTATTAATTTGCCTGGTAACAGTGTAAAGTGAAATTTAACAAGCTACACTGACTGTTATATTTGCCTGCATTTTAATCACTCGGGCCAGTTAAATCTTCTTTTGGGCCATGAAAGGTTTTGTAGTAGGTTTTGTGGGCTGCGAGTAGCAAAAAAGAAGGGAACGCTCGCTTTAAAATTATGATACGAGTCTGGTAAACCATGGAAACATGACAAGTTTCAGGAATCCTTTCAAAGGTCTAAGTATAGTGATTCTTATCACAGGACTCCTCGATAGGAAACACTGGCTGATTTTAGCTAATTTGTACTGTTACAGTTATACACTATGAAAATATCATTACCACCTAGTGGACATATTTAGAACTGCAGCAATACATTTATAATTAATGATTGTTTTAAAATGAAAATTGTTTTTTGGTCTTAGGGTGATTCTGAGAAAAAGTATTCAGGTACTTGTTAAGAAATACCAATGAGTATTTTTAAAACCTGCAAAAATCTGTTCAGACCAGCCCTTGCATTTTTATAAAATGTGTATGACCTCTCATACCTGTCACAGTAAGCAGGATTTAAACCATTAGCCTCAGCAGTCGCACTAGCCCTTCATAATAAACAAGACAAAGAAATAATGTAACTATCGTATATAATGATAATGTATAATAATGAAATGCTAAAAAATGCTAATTGAAATGCTATTAGCAAAACTGCATCAAAGCACCACGAAAGCATCTGACACTGAAAGCTCTACATACCACTGAGTGACATGCCGTATGCTTTTGCGCGTCTCCTCTTTCTGAAAGAAACATTTAAATAAATAACGACACCCACCTCCGAGGATTTATTAACGCTTGAAGGATTTCTTGCATTGAATCGACTGGACTCACCACTGGAGAATCAGCATAGGGATCTGACAGAAACACAAAACACATCACTTTCTATATATTAAATAGGAAATACCACTGATTTTTCAAAATGTCTGCAAAATTAAATCATTAAGACATAAATAAAGTCATTCACAATGGTTTGAAGTGAAATGGTTCACTGTAGAGAAACTTACCAACCCTGATTTGTTCGCAGCATTTGTCATATGTCTACAGCAAAAGTATATAATTTATTTACTATCCAAAGCAATTAGTGAACGTACCTGTCCTGATAAGTAATGTTCATGATGGTAAGATCATGAATTGGGGGGGGGGGGGTGTTTTAGGCCAAAACCCATTGTAAAATAAAGTCTCAGACATCAGGCAGTGTGTTTATAAGCCTTTCATGTAACAACTTTGGGTGAGCTTTTACACACATTAAACTCTCCAGATGTCTGGTTCCTGTCACCACCACTGGGAACAATTCTGACTCTTAATTTTTACAAGAAACAGAGCATTTCACACCAAACCACTCTGAATGACTGTTTACAAATTAACAATTTAAGTATACTAAAATTTAGAAAAATTGGTATGACACCTTTTAATAAAAATCAAAGGAAAATTTACATCAAATAAATAAAAAAGGATTAAAATCAATTAAAATGTTGCAAAATAATGTAAAAAAATAAATGTTAATATCACGCATGTCATGGAAACACTGGTGAAAATAGCACCAACTGCAACACGTCTACAAGTATCTTTATTGCTAACGCTGCTGAGCAGGCACACTTACTCTTCGGAGGGTCCTTTCCGTTTGCGGGAGTTTTGTCCAAAATGGAATTTAGTGACCGTCTCCACCTCTTCGTAGACGTTATCACAGGCTTCATAATGATCTCCCGGCTGACTGAGGCTAGAAGAGGAATGTTGAAAATAAGAATCTACAGTTGTTACACAGTTAAAACCACTGACAAACTACTGGCTCAGAGAGCTAATTTAGAATTGGGCCCATTCCCATTTCACCCCCATCACTTAGCCCTTACCCCCGATTATTGTTGGGATAGAGGGGTAGGGTGAAGTGTTAGGGCTACATGGCCCTACAAATGGACCATGTATTATGATCCTCTTCTTCATAACAAGAAAATGAAGAAAAAAATCCCTAGTACTATGCTGATGTCTCGGTAGCTAACCAGCTAGAACTGCTGCTCCATTTAAGGTGAAACAGGAAAATTCGAACAAGAAGCTGGAGAACAGCCGACTTCAGCTTCATATTACTGAAGAATAAGGGGTGGTCGATAATAAATAACTGCCCCCCACCCCGCTTTGGAGGCATATGATTCCCTAAATGTATCCCTAAATGTATCTAAAGCCCTCCTCTGCCATCACTGCAGACTGGCAGGGTCGCCTACAGAGCAGCACTAGTAGCTGTTAATGAAGCAAATGTTTTTTTTATTTGAGGGTCTCATTTTGTACAGGAAGATTTCAACCACTAACGCTTGTAACTCAGTTCCAAGGGGCAAGGTGACCCTCGAAAACAAGGGGTAGGGGTTAAAATAAGAAATGAGATTGAGCCCAAGTTTTCGTCTTTTATATGGTAAAATGACTATACAAGTCAATTCGCAAATATGCTTAAAAAAATAATAAATAAATGGTAGAGTGATAACATTTTCTCTCTTACTCCAAATAAAGCTGACCAGCCAGGACATGCTTAGTGTCTGATTTGCTTTAAATTTGCAATGAATTCATCACAGCCAAGAAAGTATCAGTTAAAAGCTGTAGAAGCTTCAGAAGGGGTGGGCAATATGACAATATGCATATGATAAATTACATCACATCATGCTTTTCTGAGAATATCATGGACATCAGTGCTCAAAGAACAGAGACTCATGTGCCTCACAGCTCCAGTGCTTAAAATTCAAGCAAAATTCAGACAAACATACCTTTGCTGATTTACTACATTTGGAGTAAGAGAGAAAAATAAAAAGCTGATTTCTGGACAAAGCATCACTTTAAAAACAACTGTGCACACAAAGAAATCTTTGCTGAAAGGAAACCACGCAGCTCCATCAACAGCTTTTCTTCATGCTACTTCACCTTGGTTCTGAAGGAAGTTCACTACTGTTGCAGTCAGTCTGGACATTACGAGCTCCATTCATGGACGTCTCAGAAGCCACAGGTTTGAGCAGCTCAGTCTGCAGTGCTGTGCTTGACTGTGAATCCGTCCAGTGCTCTGGACCAGCAGACCTCTCCAGTAGAACACCGACCGCTTCTGCAGGGTAAACAAAGTGCTTCTGGATCACTTCCTCATATCTTTGAGGATCTTGAACGTCCATATAATTCGTTTCTTCTGGTTTCGGTGGTGGAGGCGGCAAACTGTCCACTTGTGGGGCTCCAAATTCTGTAGCCTCCAGCTCCAGAGCCGCAAGATTTATGAGATTACTATTTAAAGCTTCCAGCACAGAAGCCTCAAAATCTGGAAATTCTGGAGCATCGAACTCAGGAGGCGGAGGCACCGTCTGACTCTCAGGATCCATGACATCTGTTGCTATGGTATCAGGAACTTCAGCCAGTTCTGGAACGAAAACATTGACATTTTTACTGCCTATTTTCAAAACTCCAGCTGCCCCATTATGTAACTATTTCATAATGAATGGACCAATAGAAATGATTAAATCACTTGGAATTTCCATCATAAGCCAAGAATTTTCTTCACTCTCTGGAGAAGTTACTATTTTGGAGATATAAAGTTAGTAAGTTAGCAAAACATCTGTTGTTACTGATTGGAAAAAATGACCAAAGAAAACTAAAAATGTGACAAACTGTAAGTTAATATTGTGACACTGCCCCCTGCTGTTTGAGTGCTGCCCCTCTGTTGTTCATTTCCCAAAAGCTTTACCTGCTGTGTGAGCCCCACTAACATTATTCCCCCAATAAACAGCCACACGTTCAAACCTGTCTGCTCGTTATTCACCACCACTGCTACAATATTTTATCTGACAAGTTTTAAAATTAACACACGAAAGTCTTAAAAGGGAACAGGGACAGAGGAACAAAACCTCACAGGCACAATATTGTTTTGCAATATAAATAAAAAATAACACTATTCTGCTAGCAATGGTGGACTTATGCTGCTTATTACAGGTGCCTGAAACACTTCCATTCTCGATTTTATCAAAACAGCTGCTGCTTCTTTTATCTGGAGTTAGAATAAGATTATAAACTTAGGTACTGTTATATTCTATAACAGCTACTGTCCTATATTCAATCCTAACTGTCGTAAAGGTGACTAAACAGATCAGATTTAAGAGTTAGGATGTTTCTGTAATTCAGCCCCTGTTTGCAACTAACAAAATAATGAATATTGAAGTCGTAGGTGCAACATAGGTTGGAAAAATCGTAATTGTTTTCCCTAAATCATTATAAGTGTATATAAAAGATATGAACTGGGTAAGACATACATAGTAAGATAATTTAAGATTGAAATGAATACATTTGTTTTGCTTATGTTTGTACAGATGTAAATATTTTAGGCCTGTGATGACTAAAATCACTGTGACTGATGACAATAATACAAACTGTCGGCAGAAAATCATGTTACTGATTAGATGGCTGGACATTTCGCTCATCCCATTTATATCACGTGATTAAAAGAGGGAAATACAGATTACAGAACCTGCATGGGGAGATACTAACATACTATATGACAGTTGTGTCGGCACAAGTAAAGAATTGCACATCACTGTCGGCTTTTCAGCTGATTCTGTTGGTCCAAACTGCTCAGCTAAACCGCATGACTATCAGGGCTGCTTGTACACTAATGCACACAGATCAGCTGGGACATTCACTTTTTTTTAGCCTCCCATTTACACAAAAACAGAGCTCAAAGAAGTCAAAGATTTTTTAAAAACTTTTTTTTATTATTTATTTGAACGTGGACTGAAACACATCTAAAAATACTGACGTTGCGTGCAGTTTTGCATATGATGAACTCCTTTTATAAAGTTATAAATCACAGAGAACCTATTTTATTTATTTTTCTGCCATCATTAGAGGAGAAATACAGAAAGTCAGCCCATCTTGGACTTCGATGTGTTGCTCCTTAATTATTTTGTCACTTTTCAAAAATCTGTTTGTGCTTTTGATAAAAACACCTTTACAAAAATACGAATAAGATACAGTAGGTGTTCTATCTTTTTCAATAAAGAAAGAGGAATCCTTGTATTTAATTGGCTGAATGAACCATTAAAACCAGACTAACATCTGTGGGATTTTATTTCCCAACTAATCCATTATGAAATTAGTCACTAATTGCAGCCATAATATTTTAATGTATATATTTCTTTATACAATAATAAAAAGAGAATTCCAGGCACGCTGTTATTAATTTTCTTCAAAACAAAAAGCTTACTCAAAGGTGCTTCGGCTCTGAGTTCATGTTCCATTATCCCAGAGTAGGAGCTGAGATCCACTTGTGGGGGTCTGGGTGGTTTCATGGGTGAAGGCCCCAGAGATGCCAGGTCTGGCAGGGGTTTGGGGACCGGAGGAGCCTGTACACCCGGCATAACAGGCTTCACATCTCCATTTACACGAAAATCAGTTCCTGTGACTAAACGAGAAAAAGTACATGATCAAAACTTGCAAAATTATATTTATATTAACTGTACTCAGATATTCAGACTCTAGAATTTCTCTGACATTGATTTTTGGACTAAACAGGACCATTAAGGATCGTACTAGTCCAGGCTTAGCCCTGAAAATCCAGCAGATCAGAGTATTCTGACGATCTACAAACTAAAATTTTTAACTCTGAATTGCATTATCTTGAAATTCAGTGCTAGAATAGGCAATATACAACAGTTAGCTCCAGCCACGCGAGCTGACTGGTTGAGAGGCGTTCTATCCGAGCTGATATTTCACCATAACGTCACGTTTTTTTCACAGACACTATCACTCCGCTGAGAAGCCGTTGCTAAGCAACGACTTTGAAAGCTGTAAAAGACACTCAAGACATTTGAACGTTTTTACTTCTTACTTTTTGCACAAACAGAAAATGGACAATTAAGATCACATTTGACCGACAGCCGATTTGGTCAGACTCTGAAGATGAGACGACACTAAATTCCCAAACTGTCATCAACGCTGAGCAGCTTTTCAGTCGGCAGCTGTGACAGAAGAACCTAAACAACCTGGAATCAGCCAGAAATTAACCCAATACCATTCGCCAAACTAAACGGGCTGTAAGATGCTTTACAGACTGGCTGGAACAAAACAACATCAATACTGATCTGGCAAAAACTGACAAAACTGAGCTAAACTTGATATTGCGGCAGTTTTATGGCTCAGTCCTCACTTCAAAAGGCGAGGCTTACAGCAGACTGAGTAGCGAGTGAGCGGAGTTCGTTACTCTGACGTAGCAACAAGCTGCTCATTAAGGAACTATAATTTGGCAGAAGGAACTGCGAACACTAAAACATTAAATGCCACCTTCACGGCCCAAATTATTAATTTCTTACTTTATTTAACTGTTGTATAAAAGCAATAGAACACCTGAGGTCGTGTGTTATCGCAACCAAATCATCGCAATCAATTCCACTTCTTCTATGCAGATACAGATACTGAAACCTTGAGTGTTGGCTGATGGTACGAATCAGAGGTGGGAAATATAATGATATTTTATTGTCATAGTGACAAATAAATATATCATGATTTAAAAACATGCTTCTCTGAGCAAATCATCATTAGTTAATAGAACACTGACCAACTGCATGTTTCGTAATAAAGAGAACATAATTAAACCTGTTTAATTGGATTTAGTGTGGCACATTATGTGAAATGATGTTTAAAAACATGGTCTCAAGTTTTTGATGGCAGGTTTTAAATGTGGCAACAAGTGCAATGTGTCTTTCTGCTGATACCACCCCATATAGCTACCAATCAATTAGGACAGAGCAATATGGCCAAAAATGTTATCAAGATAAAACATTTCATATCAGTTGATATCAATCATTATCACGATAAATGTCAAATCACCATTTCTTTCAAGTTTGAAGGCTAATCTTTGCTCCTGAGTGGTTAATTGTGGTTTTAAAGTATCCTTTATGATCAGAACATGACAAATACTTGATAGAAAGTGGACCATTTCATGAATTTGTCATGGGATAGTGGGAGAAAGTTTCCCAGCTGGCATAGCATGGCTGCGATTTCTGTAATATTCATAAGATTATTTTTAGCTGTCTGGTGACGAGTGCAAGGCTATCTGGTTACATGTGGTAAACTGTTTATTTTCTCACCAACGTCAGCTTAGTAGCAACAGCAAACGTTAGCTGGCAGCTGGTGACTCATTTTAGTCCTTGGCGCCTCCCTCTCTAATCATGTCAAAAAACTCGAAAGTGCGCCCTCTCATGGCGACAACCGAGTGGTGTCGCTTTCCTTGCAGCATAAAAAGCCACCAGAGCTGTCACTACAACGCGATGTGTGAGAATGGTCTATTACCCATGTGTCAAACACAAGGCCCGCGGGCCGGATCACGCCCGCCACACAATCCTATATTTCTATTGAGGATACAGATAATTGCTGTTATCGTTTTATCGCCCAGCCCAACATACAATACACACATGCCATCACTAATTCTTAGCTAAACAACCACAGATACAGATACAAAACTTTGGATGACTTACAGTGAGCGAATCCTTCAGCTTGCAGGAAAGGTGGGGAGCTGACAGGGGGGTGTCCTGACTGCCAGGAACCAGTCTCCGCCTCGTGGTGAACATTTTCATACGCTTCAAATGGCGGTGATCTCTCAGGGGAGCATTTGCTAGCATAGAAGCTCTTGGGTCTGGCATACACCAACAAACTCCTGGGAGAGAACCTCTTCCTGGCTTTCTCCAGAGTGCTCAGAACATGGGTGACGCCACCCACAGTCGAGGAGTTTTCTGCTGTTGGCGGAGGTGTAACTGACTGCTCTGGGCTTGGACACGGTGACCCACAGTCTGAGCCCCCATTCTGGTGGCTGAAGCCATTTGCCCCAATCAGGGTGGACTGAGGAGGTTTGAGGACCTTGCCGTTTTCAGCATGTTCAGCAGAACCTTCTATAATATCTTTGATGCATTTAGAAAACTTGGGGGGCTTGAACGGTGCTGGCATGGCTTTCTTTTTGCATTTGATTGGCGACGTAACCAGTTTACTAGATGAAACGACCGGGTCGCGCTTCAGCTCGTGAGATGAGGCTGGAAGAACTAAAGGCAGCTGACGATCTCTGAAGGGAAGCCTTGCGACACCACTTCCGCCATCGTTCCCGTGGTGGAAAAAACACGACGGAACTGAAACGGGCCGGTTTGCTTGTGCCACCTTGCAGTCATTCCTTGAAACGGCACTAGATGCGTTGGGACTGTGTTCTTCTCCAGAAGAACTGATGATGAATGGGGAGCTGGTGCGTCCTGCTGGAGGTGGAAAGCGTTTGGGCTTGTGAGGAACAGATGGCCTCTCCTTCGACTGAATTTCCTCTTGAAACTTGGCCCGGAGGGACTTGAAGTCGATTGCAGTCTCCTACAGTTGGATAAGAAGACAAACGAGCAATCAAAGGAAATTTATGCAGAAGACCCACTTAAACATGACTAAGCACAGTTAAATGTCAGAGGCAGCTGGGAAGCTCCATGATCGAGGTGCCCTTTAGCACTTCTAACTCCTAAAAACCTTTAAATAACCATTTTTCAACAGTGAATCTAAGAAAATATGCAATTAACTATTTAACAAAATGCATCAACCCATCTTAGGAACTATACAGGTCATACTGGTCACCACCTGTTCCAGCTCCTTCCCTCAGGACGGCACTTCATCCAGATGAGGATCAAGACATCCAGGCTCTTCCCACAAGCCATCACTCTCTTGAACAATTAAAATATTACACATGCACAATATTCCAGCTTCTAAACTGCACTTCTAAATATATTATTATATATTATTACATTCAACTCCATCCTCTGAACCCACCATCTCAGACCAGTGTTTATTCTAGCATCTTACTTACCTGCCTTATTACCCCACTTATCTGACTGTAACCTCACTGATCCCTTTCTTTGCCATTATACACCCTTTAAATGCTGCTGCACTTAGCACTTTACTATAAGACACATACTTTGCACATTGTAAGGTTTACAGGTATGACTCTGTGTGTGTGTGTGTGTGTGTGTGTGTGTGTGTGTACGGTTACGGTAAACTAATATTAACGTTATCTGTTAAAACTGTCATCACCACTGAGCAGCTTTTCAGTCGGCAGCTGTGACAGAAGAACCTAAACAACCTGGAATCAGCCAGAAATGAACCCAGTACCATTCGCCAAACGTGTAGTCTGATCTTCAGAGCCTGAACAAATCGGACTGAGCCATAAAACTGCCGCAATATCAAGTTTAGCTCAGTTGTGTCAATTTCTGCCAGATCAGTATTGATGTTGTTTTGTTCCAGCCAGTCTGTAAAGCATCTTACAGCCCATTTAGTTTGGCGAATGGTGTTGGGTTCATTTCTGGCTGATTCCAGGTTGTTTAGGTTCTTCTGTCACAGCTGCTGACTGAAAAGCTGCTTTTGGGAATTTAGTGTTGTCTCATCTTCAGAGTCTGACCAAATCGGCTTTCGGTCAAATGTGATCTTAAGTGTCCATTTTCTGTTTTTGGTAAAGTAAGAAGTAAAATGTTCAAATGGCTTGAGCATCTCCCATCAAATCCATTGCTTAGCAACGGTGTCTCAGCGGAGTGATAGTGTTTGTGGAAAAACCTGTGATGTTGTGGCGAAATATCAGCACGGATAGAACGCTTCTCAACCAATCAGCTTGCTTGGCTGGAACTAACTGTTGTATAATATAATATTACGATACTGTTAATAACTACTTTCAGCTGAACGTTCCTATAGTATGGTCTGAATATGGCAAGGCAAGTTACAGCGCTCCATCTTCATGGAATGACCTCCAAAAACATTTAAAATTGGAACAATTTATTTCCTTGAGTGATTAAAGAACTATCATTCTGTTTGTTCTTGCTCTCAATTTGGTTCTGACTGATTTGATTTTGTTGGTTCTCTTTTTGAAGAACCATAATTTTTAAGTGTAGTAGTGAGTGTAGCTTTACTTAATTAACTAAGGCAATGTACAAGAAATAGTAAAGGTTATTAGATTTGCACTAGTAAGTTTAACAAATGAGTGAAGTAAAAAATGTGAGTGCAACTGTTTTGTTCTACAGAAGAAAGTTTTCACAGCTTTTCTATTGTCATATACAGTCTTTATACTTCTATAAAGACTGTATGAAGACTTACAGTTTGAATGTTTAGATTTACGAATGTGAAATTTAGCTAGAAACTGCACCAAATACATTAAGTTACATTGCTCTGTTCTCTGGTTTTGCTATAATCCAGAAAACCAAGCAATCGTGAAACCACCCAGCTAAACTAGCTAACGACGTCCAGTGTTCCTATTAGTCAGCTTCTTGTTCGAATTTCCCAGTTCCACCTTAAATGGTGCAGCAGTTACTTTCCGGCCCACCTGCCACCCAGCTAAACTAACGCTTTCCAGTGTTCCTATTCACCAGCCTCTTGTTCGAAATGTCTCGTTCCACCTTAAATGGTGCAGCAGTTACTTTACAGTGCCTATTTTACCTATTCGCCAGCTTCTTGCTTGATTTGCCCCGCTCCACCTTAAATAGTACAGCAGTTACATTTTAGCGTTTACCTATTCGCCAGATTCTTCCTCGACATGCCCCGTTCCACCTTAAGTAGATTAGCTAGTGCAGCATTTCGATTCTGGCGCCTAGTCGCCAGCGTCTTGTTGAATTTCCCCGTTCCACCTTAAATGGTGCAGCAGTTACACTGTGGAGCCAAAATGAGACGGGAAAATTCGAGGACGAAGCTGGCGAACATGAAGCTGCCCGGCTGGTTAGCTTGAACCGTTTTACCTTCAAAAGTGGACATATGAACGGTTTCTGCGTTTAAGTGAGACGCGGGAAAAGAAATACGGCCGTGATAAACTAACATTAACGTTATCTGTTAACGTTACAGCCAAAACGCAAAAACCAACCGACTTCATAAACGGTTCTCAGAAAAACACAGAAGTCGTTTTTGTTTTGTTTCTGGAAGAGTCTTACCATGTTTGTTTCGGGTCCTCATCGGCTCTCGGCGGCCATTTCACCGAAATATCCCGGGTTAACCGGATCAGTGGCGGAGCGACCGTTAGCTAGTTAGCTTAGCAGCTTTTAAACAAACCAAACGGAGGGATGCGGGGGCGCGCCTTTTTCAATGCCATTTGCGCGCCTTTACGCAGGAGCTGCTGCGCGCTCCCGTGTCTGCGTTTTTCTTTTGGTTTGGTTTGGATCGATACAGCTCACAATCGGCACGATCCGATACCGAGTAATACCGAGGCGAATATCCCGATACCGATACTTTTAAAAAGAGGGGCTTTTTGTGGTTGACACACTTAAAACTAGCAGAAACATCCACAATATAATTATGTTTGAAAGAATTTGCCTTAGTATTAAATAAACCACCACATAAAAGGAATTTTAGTGGAATTTAGGGAAATAACCCCAAATGATCTGCCGTTATAGATCATTATAAACATCATGTGGCCTTTCGTGCCTGAATGCGAGAGGTAGTCCTACCTACACATTTATTTGCTATGATTTTTTTTTCATTTTCACCATCAGATTGATGATACTGTGGGGTCTGGCACATGCCAGTTTGCCGTAAGGAGCTCAGGAGGTCTTTCGGCTGTTGCTACGTTGCGCACAATGTTGTTGTTAGTTTAAGATGTGTTTAGATGTTGGCTGTGTGTTATTGTGCTCTGTTGTGGGTTAGTTGGTGTGTTTGTAGTGTTCACCCTCAGAGGATGTTGTATGGCTATTGATGACTGTCTCCACTATTTTTCCTTTGATTTAGTAGCACTGGGTTGGACAATTGTTGCTGCCTGTTGAAGTGCTGGTTCAATTAAAAGAGCATTTGCCCGTACATGCAATGTTTTCTGTGTCTTCTTCTACACTGACACCCATCTGTCCATCTGTTTCTCTGCATACTTTGTTAGCCCCCTTTACCCTGTTCTTCAGTGGTCAGGACCCCCATGGACCCTCACAGAGCAGGTACTATTTTGGTGGTGGATCATTCTTAGCACTGCTGTGACACTGACGTGGTGGTGGTGTGTTAGTGTTTGTTGTGCTGGTACGAGTGGATCAGACACAGCAGTGCTGCTGGAGTTTTTAAACACTGTGTCCACTCACTGTCCACTCTATTAGACACTCCTACCTAGTCAGTCCACCTTGTAGATGTAAAGTCAGAGACGATAGCTCATCTGCTGCTGCACAGTTTGAGTTGGTCATCCTCTAGTCCTTCATCAGTGGTCACAGGACGCTGCCCACAGGACACTGTTGGCTGGATATTTTTGGTTGGTGGACAGTTCCCAGTCCAGCAGTGACACTGAGGTGTTTAAAAACTCCAGCAGCGCTGCTGTGTCTGATCCACTCAGACCAGCACAACACACACTAACACACCACCACCACGTCAGTGTTACTGCAGTGCTGAGAATGATCCACCACCCAAATAGTACCTGCTCTGTGAGGGTCCATGGGGGTCCTGACCACTGAAGAACAGGGTAAAAGGGGGCTAACAAAGTATCAGAGAAATAGATGGACTACAGTCTGTAACTGTAGAACTACAAAGTGCACCTATATAGTAAGTGGAGCTGATAAAATGGACAATGAGTGTAAAAACAAGGAGGTGGTCATTATGTTATGCCTGATCAGTGTATAGTGAGAGCTTGTGGCTTTAACTTTGCTGGCTAAAACAGTTTTATGTTTTTCCGGGATTTACCAGGAGGTGGAGCGTTACCAGAAAATGGTCTGTCCCGCTGCACCTAAAATCCTAAAATGACACAAGTGTGTACCTCCTGTCAATCATTTACTTTCACTGGTATTGACAAAAGCTTCTGGAGCACATCTGGCTTTTGGGGTCAGCTGAAAATCAGCCGTTTCAGCTATGACTGTGTTTAAGCCTTCTCTGGTTTCTTGTGTTATTTTGTCTCTTTTTTGTCTCAGTTATTCAGTCCAGCCTGGTACCTCCTGGAGCTCATCACAAAACAGGTGAAGGGGTTGTTTTATTTCTCTGTTTATCCAGGCACCTCTCTTTGGGTTAGAACACTGGGCAGCTTTAGTAACCACTACTCGGCTTAGTAAACTAATGGGTTCTGTCTGTTTAGGACTGTTTCATTAAACTGGTTTAGAGCTGAATGACTTGGGGAAAATATCTGATTGTAATTAAATATTGTGACTGTGATTTAAATTGCAATTATTTCTGTATCTTAAGGTCCAGACTTGGGCCAAGAAGAACAGAATGTCCACTTTTTCTGGCTTCAGGCATGAACATTGCCAGTTAGCTGTGTTGTAAACCCAGTAAACGGGTGTTCAATTGGTTCTAATTGGTTCTAAGCTTAGTGTTATTAGGTTAAACTTCCCATTTAAAACACAGAAAACATTACAAAATCATGAGCTCTGTCAAACTGATGAGGCTGAGGGGTGCAATGCTGCACATACCACACCAACTAACACTTTTAAATGCCACACTCCTAGCAAAAAAAGGGTTCTATATGGTACCAACAAAGGTTATTTGGCTTGTAACAGTAGTGGAACCCTTTCTGGTGCTATATAGAACCCTTTTCGAACCATCTACAGCACATTCTCCATCAATCTGAAGAACCATTTCACAATGCAAAGAACCCTTTAATCATGCAGAGGGTTTTTTGAATGTTCACGGTTCTATATAGAACCATTTACTTTACTGAAGAACCGTTGAAGAGCTATCTTTTTAAGAGTGTAGTTTTAGGCCGGACAGCTCATTTGAAATGTTTTGGTTACTGCAGGAGTAAATGATGTGTATTGTAATGATAAATTGACAGTTTTTTGTGAATTTATCAGCCTCAATATTCACTCTCCACTTTTGAATTATGAGCCATTTTGGAGGTCAGTTTGATTATAACTTCATTCACAGGGCCGTTCATCATACTAGAAACATCTAATATTTATTCTTTCTTACAGCTTTCTATTAATTATTTGAGACCTGTGAAGTTGATCACATTGGAATCATGGTGTAGATCATTGCCGTAAAAAAAAACTTATTTTTCTCTCTTTTCCCCCATTTTTTACGTTTTTTTTCAACAATTTGAAAGCTCCTGTCACCCTTCACACTGTGTTAAACCTTCATGATGAACAGACCGATAGAAAAAGTCTGAACTTTTTTGGCAAAAACCTTCTTACATTGACTTTCATTACAAGTTCCTCCACCTGTAAAATGACCAGTTTGGAGATAAGTTTTTCTTCCACAGCGATAACAAGTATTTGCCACTAAATATTTGCTTTTATGTCACTGAAAACTCTGATTCCAATATTTTAAATTGTAGTGTACGTTTATCTTGGGTCAATTTTGCAATAACATGTTTCACAGCCCTGATGTTTTTGTCTACAGGACTCAGAGCTTCTTCAGAAAGGCCCGTCAGGCCGACTCTCCTGCTCCTATAGACTGTAAACTGAAGAGCTGGTCATCCTGGACACCATGCAACTCTTGCACAGAGAAGGCGGTAACAGTTCCACACACATTAGAATGTACTGAGGATCGATACAGTCATTTTTGACATATTGCACAGAGGTTTATTTCCAAATGTTTAGTCATGTGGTTCTGAGGTTAGAGCAGTCAGATACTTCAGAGTGTGGTACATAAACGTAGGGTATTTACTATGGGAGCAGTAATACTCCACTCTGCAGTTCCAGTGACCCTTGGTTGGGGATCTAAAGGAATGGTGGGCCAAAAATCAACCCCCCCATCTCAATCAGCCAAGACATGTAGTACTCTGCAAAAGTCAAAAACCACCCTCATTTACTTAATTTCAGTGAAACAGCCATTAAGTACAAGCAAATACAAAATTACACAAAATATTTGACTGAACATTTCACAAAAGACTCAACAACTAAATGTATTATCAGATGTTTCAATATTTAGTGTGTCCACTCTTTACCTTTACTACAGCTTCCATTCTTTTCAGGAGACTCACTTTCAGTCTCTGCAAATCTGGGGTGGTCAGTCCATTGTACAGAGAACACCAGCAGCTTCTTTGTTTTCCTAAATTTCCTTTTCTCAGAAACAGCTTCTTGACAGCTACACAGGGCTGGATTTAAACCTTTGCCCCCCCCCACAATCTTGATAGCTGATGTAAAATTAGTGTAAAACTGTGATGTAAAACTAATAACAATGGCTACCACACGCTGTCTAAATTATAAGACACATTCGACAACTGAAACACCTCTAAATACAACTAAAATCCCTCTCAGTACAACAAAAACACCTCTGAATACAACCAAAACACCTCTAAATACAACCAAAACCCCTCTCAGTACAATCAAAACACCTCTAAATACAACCAAAACCTCTCTCAGTACAATCAAAACACCTCTAAATACAACCAAAACCTCTCTCAGTATATTCAGAACACCTCTAAATACAACCAAAACCTCTCTCAGTACAATCAAAACACCTCTAAATACAACCAAAACCTCTCTCAGTACAATCAAAACACCTCTAAATACAACCAAAACACCTCTCAGTACAACCAAAACACCTCTAAATACAACCAAAACACCCTCTCAGTACAACCAAAACACTCTATCAGTGCAACCAAAACACCTCTAAATACAACCAAAACACCTCTCAGTGCAACCAAAACACCTCTAAATACAACCAAAACACCTCTAAATACAACCAAAACCCCTCTCAGTACAACCAAAACCTCTATCAGTGCAACCAAAACACCTCTAAATACAACCAAAACACCTCTCAGTGCAACCAAAACACCTCTAAATACAACCAAAACACCTCTAAATACAACCAAAACCCCTCTCAGTACAACCAAAACCTCTATCAGTGCAACCAAAACACCTCTAAATACAACCAAAACACCTCTCAGTACAACCAAAACACCTCTATACAACAAAACCTCTCAGACAACAAAACACCTCTAAATACAACCAAAACCCCTCTCAGTACAACCAAAACCTCTATCAGTGCAACCAAAACACCTCTAAATACAACCAAAACACCTCTCAGTGCAACCAAAACACCTCTAAATACAACCAAAACACCTCTCAGTGCAACCAAAACACCTCTAAATACGACTAAAACAC